GATAGGCCTATACGGTTGACCTTGTTGGATGGAGTGGTGGTTTAGCTTTATTCTGGAAGAGTAGTGTCTCGGTTAAGGTGGAGTTTGCGGACAAGAACCTAATCGATGTGTCTGTACAGTTTGGTGGTTTTAATTTTTTTTGTGTCTTTTGTGTATGGAGATCCGGTGGTAAAGGGCAGAGCTCATGTGTGGGAGCGGCTAATGCGAATTGGGAGCCAAAAGAAGGAGAGCTGGTGCATGGTGGGAGATTTTAATGAAATAATGCATAATGGAGAGAAGCTTGGAGGATCTAGGCGATGTGAAGCATCTTTCAAAATTTTTAATAAGATGCTCTGCGTATTGTACATGATCGAGCTCCCAAGTGCAGGGAATGGCTTTACATGGGCGGGCACGAGGAATTCTCATTGGGTGCAATGCAGGTTGGACAGATGTTTTGGGAACAAGAGCTGGAGGACACTGTTTCCGATTGCCAACCAAACCTTTATGGACAAGTTGGGATCGGATCATATCCCGGTTCTGGTTCACATGATGAGCAAACAAACATCAGAGAGAGGTGTTTTCTGTTTTGACAAACGCCTGATAGGAAAGCCTCTGGTGAAAGAGGTGATTAAACAAGCATGGAAGGGATAGCACAATTCAGTTCCTATCTTGCTGATGAACAGGATTGGGATGTGTCGGAAGGCGCTTGGTAGATGGAAAAAATAAAACCAGAATAACTCAATGACACGGATTGTGAGCTTAAGAGACACATTGGAGAAGGAATATCGAGTACCAGCCCGAGATTTGAGTACGTCAAAGAGTTGAAGTTGGAGATTTGATAACACCGTATTTTGACCACTTTTATGGATCTATTTGAAATATTTTTTCTATGTTTTTAATTGCTTTCAGGTACTTTTATTACGTTTTTCTAGTATTTGTAGTTCCAAGGCTCTTTTCAGGAAACTTAGGGAAAAGCTTAACAAAATGGATAGAAGACCAGATTTTTAGCTCAGAATCAAACCGTCAGAAGTTCACCCCCGATTGAAAGCCTTCTCACCGTCTGATCCAGCTCAAATTTGGAGATCTCAAAGATGGAAGTATCAGCTTTCCAGCACACGTTATAGCTTGGCAATCCAACGGTTCAATCAAAAGATACGCGAAGAGCAAGATGTCCCGTAAACCAGCCGGCAAGCGTTTCCACCCGCCGCCAACAGGCCATTCTCCGCGGTCACAACCATCCTGACCGCGGCCAGCCATCCATTCTCCGCGGTCACGCACATCCCGACCGCGGCCAGCTAACTCCGAGTTTGAAGGCCCATTTCTGAAGCCCATATCATTTTTCGAGCCTCAATTCCGGAACCCTAGACACCAGAGAGTATTGGAGATTATAAATACATATCATTTAGGTCATTTTTAAAAGAGAAGAAGGGAGACGAAATACGTAGAAGAATTTTACTTTAAGCTTTTGTTTTTAGGTTTTAGGGAGAGAGAGATCTATCTCTTGAACCCTTGTTCTTTCTTTTTCAATTTCGGTTTCTGTACTACTTTTTAATACTATGTTTTTGATTTCGTTTATCATGTCTTAGTAGTTTTTTGTTGGGTCTAAGGGATTTTCGATGGGGATACATATGTTCGATGAGGATTTCATGAGCTATTGAGACGAATCTTAGAACTTTTTCTTCTGAATTCGTTTTTACTGCATGAGAGTAGCGTCATGAACTACAATCTGATCCAGATGCTTGGTGACACAAAAGTGTTCATCTGGTGTCAGATCTAGTTTGGGAGAGCAAAACAAACATAGGAGTGGAAACCTACCTATGGGCGATTTGTGAATGCTGACGAGTCTTAAACATAATGCATCTCTTCTTTTCCAGGGCCAGAAACCTACTGGTCGGGGTTGAGAGAGATAGTTGTCTATGATCACGACAGTGGCGTAGTCATACGTCCGTGACTCTAGTTCGAAAAGTTTAAGCTAAGATCTTATCAAATTTACTCTCTAGCAATATTTTGAATCGTTCATACCCCTGAGAAAACTTCCATGAACCCCAGCACTTTCTTTTCTATAGATTTACCCCGATTTTTATTCATGCTTTAGTCTATTATCTTTACTCTTTCAATCGATTTTCATTAAAGCAATTAGGTTTAGTCATTTTTCTCGTTTTTACCTGTTTTCGTTAAGTTTAGTTATTATGTCATTTTAATTACCGTATTTTCTCTTTAAGATTCGTTTTTACGTTTCAAAGACACCTCCAAAACCCTCACAAAATCACCTGGTTCTAGACTTCCTTACTTTATATTTCTTTCGAAGGCTTTTGCAGGAAAGATTCTCCTTCCCTGTGGATTCGATCCCTAAGTACTACAATCGATCAGTTGTGCACTTGCGGCTATTGATTTCATTTAGGGTAAAACTTGACACCCTCATCACGACACACATCAAGATTGCTAAAGGATTCCAGGAGGAGGAACTTTTTTGGGAACAGAATTGCAGGGAGCAGTGGTTAAAGCAAGGAGATTACAACACGAGTTTCTTTCATGCATCAGTGAAAGCGCAGAGATCCAGAAATTGCTTAGAACAGCTGATTGACGACCAAGGTAGAGTGGCGACATCGATGGGATCGATGGGAGATATTGCAAGCAATTATTTCAGATGACTATTTGCGACGTCGGCTGAGGGAAACATGGAGGATCTGTTTGCCAATTTCATTCCTAAAGTATCCGACAGAATGAATATGTGCATGATGAGACCTGTGACTTCCAAAGAGGTGAAAGAAGCTGTGTTTGCAATCAGAGGAACAAGCGCACCAGGGCACGATGGAATGAATGAACTTTTCTTTGAAACATATTGGGGAATTGTCGGTGATCAAGTCACAAAAGAAGTACAGAGCTTTTTCGAAACAGGGGTTTTCCTTCGGAATGGAACTATACTCAAATATGTTTGATTCCAAAGATCACCAAACCTACGGTGATGACCGAGCTCCGACCTATAAACCTGTGTACAGTCTTATATAAGATTATTTCAAAGGTGCTGGTGGCAAGATTACAACCATGGCTTAATGAGATCGTTTCACCAACTCAGTCAGCGTTTGTGTCAGACAGGTTGATATTGGATAACATCATCTTCTCTCATGAACTAGTTCACGCACTGAGGACACATCCAAGAGTGTCAAGTGAAAGCATGGCTATAAAGACAGGTATGTCAAAAGCTTATGACCGGATTGAATGGCCTTACCTGGAAGCTTTGCTGAAAGCATTGGGGTTTCACCAGAAGATTATTCAGTGGATCATGTTCTGCTCAACGGTGACATATACGATTTTGATAAATGGGGAATCTCATGGTATGATAACGCCGAGTCGAGGACTCCGTCAAGGAGACCCTTTGTCCCCATTTTTGTTTGATTTATGCACGGAGGGGCTATCTTATCTTCTGAGTCGTGCAGAAGCTGAAGGTCGTATTCAAGGCATTAGATTTACACAGGATGGACCGACCATTCATCATCTGTTGTTTGCTGATGATTGCCTGTTACTATGTCATGCAAATGAAGAGGAAAGTGATACAATTACCGAAATCTTGCAGTTATACGAAAAGGTATCTGGCCAAAAGATCAATTTTGACAAGTCTTCAATCACTTTTGGAGAGAATGTAGACCTTGGAACGAAACAGAGCATACAAGGGCGGATGGGCATTGTCAATGTTGGGGGAGCAGGGAAATACTTAGGATTACCAGAGTGTTTTAGTGGATCAAAACGTGACATGCTCAGCTATATAAAGGACAAGATGACGGGCAGATTCAACGGATGGTATGACTGGTTCCTCTCTCAAGCAGGCAAAGAGATTCTTTTAAAATCAGTTGCGATGGCAATGCCAGTTTTTGCCATGTCTGTGTTTAAACTACCAAAATCCACATGCAAAAACTTGACAAGTGCTATGGCTCAATTCTGGTGGAATCCACAGGAAGGGAAAAAGAAAATCCACTGGGTGTCATGGAAAAAGATGTGTCTAGAAAAAGATTTGGGTGGTATGGGTTTTCGCAACATCGAGCTGTTCAACCAGGCTTTACTGGCTAAGCAAGCGTGGAGGGTGCTTATGTTCCCGGAGAGTTTAGTAGCTAGGGTCTTAAAGAGTCAGTATTTTGCTAAAATGGTATGCTGAAAGCTGTCGTAGGATCGAGGCCCTCTTACGCATGGAGAAGCATTTTACATGGAAGGAAGCTACTCCTTCGGGGTTTGAAAAACTCTGTCGGCTCAGGGGATAACATTAATGTCTAGTTAGATCCTTGGATTTGCGATGAGGCACCGAGAGCACCTTATCGAAGGAATCTGTTTTTCAATCTGAATATGAAGGTTAAAGAACTAATCGATCCCCAAACAAAAACATGGGACAGGGGAAAACTACAGGAACATTTTGTTCGTAATGACATTGAAATCATCTTAAAGCAGAAGCTTGCTTTTGGAAGTCCTGTGCTTACTCGGTTGGATCAGGGTATTGGCTTGGAAGGCAATTGGATCAGTCGGAGACAAGGAGAGAGGCTATGATGAGCCCATCTTTGAACATATTGTGAAGCCGTGTATGGCAGGTGAAAACGGTGCAAAAAATAAAAGTATTCATGTGGAAGGTATTGAATAATGCCATACAGTTGCAGAGTGTTTGAGACACAGAGGTCTTGAGTCAGAGGAGGAATGTCAGGTATGTGCGAGAGGAGAAGAAACTGTGAACCATGTGTTATTTGAGTGCACTGTTGCAAGACAGATATGGGCTCAGATGAACTTCCCTTTCTCGAGAGATGAGTTTGATACATAGTCCATTTATGAAAACATGCATTACCTCTTTGAGCTCTCGAGGAACAAAGATGTACCAGAGGAGATTAGAAGATGTTTTCCATGGGTCTTGTGGCAGATATGGAAGAATCAGAACTTATTTCTCTTTGAGGGAAGGAGGTTTACGGCGTGTGAAACTGTATCGAAGGTGTGGGAGGATACAAATCAATGGTTTTCAATCCAAACATTTGACCAGAGGGAACTGAATGAGAATCAAAGGCTTGCTCAACAAGAAAGACGATGGGAGCCACCTATATCCGGGACTTTGAAATGCAATGTGGGGGTATCGTGGTGCAAAACAAAGAGGATGGTTGGGGCAGCCTAGATTCTACGGGATTACAAGGGAGATACACTACCTCATAGAAGCCGAGCTTTCAATGGTGTGAGTACACTGATGGATCCATCAAAGGAAAAAGGTCTTCTATAGGCAATCGAGAGCATGAGCAGCTTGCATATACCGAATGTGGTTTTTGGGATCGAGACAGCTGAGATAGTGGTGGCTTTCAATAAACCTAATGCCTGGCCAGCTTTAAGAGGTCAAATATCTATATTACGACAGGCATTACAGAACATTGGTGAGTGGGGTTGGGTAACAGAAAATGAGAAGAGTAATAGAAGTGTTGCCATGATCGCAAAGAGTGTAGCACGAGAAAACCGATGGCGGTTTTATGTGGCTTATGGAGCACCTTTGTGGTTGAAGGAATGTATCCAGTTGGAGAAACCGACTACTTCGGTGTAGTTTGGTCTATTTATTTTTGCTATGGTTTTGTATTTGGATTTCAGTGAATTATTTTTGGACTTTTTTCATTAATAAAATCACTATTTAGAAAAAAAAAGATTTTTGTATATGAAATGAATCTAATAATTCAAGTAATAGAAAATACTCTGCAAAATATAAAATGTCAAAAATAAAAAAGATTTAATTTTGTATTAAAAACTGAAAATATCAATGATTTAAGAACAGAGTAAAGACTAAAAAAAACTAATTTTCTTCAAAAAGTATAAGTTAATATATAAATAATATATAATCTTGCCACTCAGAAAAAAAAAACTATAAAATATAATTAGTCACAGTTTCTCACAAAATTATAATCGATGGCGCATCTTGTCAGTACACGTGAACTGCCCATGTGATGTACACCAGGTGATACTTAAATTTGCATAGTGGAAATTGACAACTTTTTGTGTTATGTAGTGGATACAATCATACAAATAAGAGCATGTTTATCGAGGTCTTTAAACTGGATCTCTTAGTATTATTGGGTTTAAATTAAATCATAAATGGGCAATAAAGAGAAAAAAACAGAAGCGACGTCTCTTATTTCGGATCCGTAGGAGACGTCTCTTGCTTGCCATGTGTCACAGCGCTATTGGCAGATGAAACAAAGATGAGGAAAATTTTTTTTGCTCTATGTCGTGTAGTCATTTATTTCGTGTCCAAATCCTGTAGTCATTTAGTTTTGCTTTCTTTTTCCTCAATCTCGATATCAGTATATATCAAGTATATATCAACTCTTTTCTGAAAAAAGATTTGCAAAAAATTGAACTAACCAACGTTTCTCAAAAATCCGCTAGAACATTAATTCTTAACTCAAAATAGTAACCATCGTTACAATTTTTTTTTTTCTAATGTTTTAAGCTCTCTTCTTGCATATGTTCCTTTTTCCTTTTATCCTACCTCAAAATCATCTATTAAATTTGTGTTGTTTATATATAATAAAAATGTTTTACTTTTGTTATTTTCAATTACAAAACTTCTTTTTTATAATTTTTTTTAAAAAAAAACTCATTACAGTTTCTCTAATGTACCTCAAATAAATCAACATCTCTTAATATGTATTTTAACTAAACAATATTACTAAAATAATATTTAAGAGACACACATGGATCTCTCTAATAAACATGGTCTTAGATAAATAAATGTACTATCTTGAAACTTTGTATAGAATACCCTTCTACGGGTCCACGATCCGTATCATTCATCAACAATATTTGTCTATGTATATGCTAAATCATAAACTGTAAAACTAACATTTATTCATTTGTAGAGTTAAAGACATCAAACATACGCAGCCAGAAGATGAAGATGGCAAACCACCATGAGACGAAAGAGAAATAACAATGGAAAACCAGCAATTTAACATAGAAAGATCACATTAATATATTTGGATCATCAGTTCTTGCGAAGCACAATGAGGTACTGCATTCCGGGCTTGGCATTCTTGAGACGAGTAAACTGTTCACGTGCCTTGACCTCGACGAGCTCAAAGGCTTTCCTCATTACATCCGCTCCAAAATGTGCGGCTAGGAAAGCTCCATAGGAGGCCCTGAAGGAGATGGCCAAGATCTTTGGGTCCAACGGAAACTCGCTATTTGGGTGAATGATATCCTCAAAAGCCTCGATAGTGAACTTCCCGTTCTCTTTTATGATTTGCCTTATCTCGCCTTCTTCTGCAATGTAGAGTGGGGTGCTAAAAGAGTCCACCTTATCTTGCTCGATGACACCCTTTTATTCAATCAAGAAAATTGAAAGATTAATTATGTTAGTTATGTAATTATAGATATACAGATGTAAATATGATTTTATATTTATTATGATATGAAATGTTATTTTTGAAAAACTAGATTGACGTTTTAATTTAAAATATAGTTATATATGTTATAATTATATAAGATTATGAATTTTGATATTTGTGTTCTTTATTTTTTTTTTATCTGCATATCAGATCCGAATATAATATATATACCTGTTGAGCAAGATCATTGAAAGAATCTCCAATGAAATCCATCACTATTCCTTTAGAGGTCTCAGACATCTTAACTCCGTCTCTTAGACACGATCCGAAAATCAACATCAATCCCTCGGGGACAAGCTCTTCAGCTCTAGCGTCTAGTAGCTCCTTGGTGTCGGCTGAGTACTGATCAAGATAAGCTTTCTTGACCGCTTCATTGAAGCCAGTGCAGTGCATGTCTCTGTTCCACGAAGGAGAGTCTCGGTCCGTGATCCCTTTGGGGATTTTGGAGGTGAAATGGAACGCGTAATTGATAACTCCAATGTGGAAACTCTGCTTAGGAAGAACACGTTCGAAGAAAGAACCAGGAACCCCGGCGCTATAGTATCGCCTGCCCTGAGGAAGTGACTGGAAGAGAGTGTTGAAATCGTTGGTGGTAAAGTCGTTGAAGAGGACTTGGAACTCGATGTTATCCGCCGGGTTTTGTCCGGTTTCTTTACGGTACTTGTCTTCTACAGCATCTATTATGTTTTGGACTGCCACAAAAGTGTTTGGTCCACTTGCACAACCGAAATCCGCTACACTGAATCGATCAGAGATCAAGTCAAGGCTGAGCTTTGCTGATATTGCTTCGTTCATCTTTTCTTTTGCAGCTTCCAACAACGCTCTCTAAAGAAAATCAAGTCAAAGAGGGGATTATTGTTAAAACATGTTTATTACATAATCAAGATCCTAGCTAGGGTTATAAAATCATATAAATAAAAAACCTGATACGAGGAATGCTGATTGTAACTCTCAGGACCTTCTCCTCCAATCATGATCCATTCTGGTGTAGTAGACATGACTGATCTCTTTTTCTCTCTTCTCACTCTTCTATTCTTGTTTGATAATTAATATTTGATGAGAACTTATGATAAGCTATGGACGTCTCTATGCATATTTATACTAAATATTCCTTGTGCTCTCTCATTGCTTGAAAGAGCAGAATGAGATTTAGTTTATTTATATAAATTAAATATGAAAATGGGTTCTCTCTGAACTAAAATATAATAATATCGCCACCGACTCCGCGTTGTACTCGTTTTATATATGGCTTACTTTGGGATTATTTATTCCCCCAATAATAAAACGTAAAAAAATCTACTGTATGATTTTGTAAAAAACTATAAACTTGCCAGGACAGCAGTTACAAACGAAATTAATTTTTTATTATGTGCAAAGATGCTCACTGTCTTGTCCTTGTAACTTGTATAACTTAGTGCACTTCTTTTTATATGTAGCAACTTGCCAAAAAAATAAACGTTTGATTTATTTGTTAGGGTAGGGATAATCTTTGAAAACCAAAAAAATTCGAGATAAGCTAAACATTTGACAAAAAGAACATGAAAGCAGTTATGTAATATTAAATCACAAATAAGTGGTATGAAGGGCATTTGATAATTCACATATTTATGAGATTCTTTTTGCATTTGTTTCATATTTAATTTTTATGTGTTCGGTATGTTAACGTACTTGAAAAGAAACTTATACTACTTTTTAATAGACTTTCAATTTCAAAAAAAAAAAAATACAATTAAACCTCTATAATTAATAATGTCGAGACTGCAATATTCTATTAATATATAAAATTATTAATTTATCAACATAAATATCAGTTCGAAAACTAATTTAATACTTAAAAAATATATTAATTTATTAAAATATTAATTTATAGAGATTATATTGTAGTATTTCTTTCTTAAAACTGTTGTATCATAAACGAAATACTACATCAGGTTTATAATAAATTCAAAAATCATAGAAGAAAATATAACCTCATAGTTTTCTTGATTGTTTTGGAAAGGATTATGCGTTGGCAGAAACAGATAATTAGTCTTCACTTACTTAATTAAATAAGGAATATTATATTAGGTGTTGAAAGAAAGCAAAAATGGTTTAGGCGTTGATAATTATTAATACACATGCACTCCATTTCAACGGATCCCCCAACTTCTATAATCGATTGCTGTATCTTTTACGATTAATTTATTCTTAATGGTTCCGCAATTCCACCAACAGCTTTCTTTAAAATCCTCTCTTTTCTCCCTTTTAAAATGATTCTATTTTTCTTTAACAATTACAGAGGGTTAAAGCCTTGAAGGTTGTAGATAGATCAAAGTGAATACTACTTCAATCCTATTTGTTTCCATGTTTTTGATGTGTTGCATTTTTAACACATTCTAACCTGAATTTTAGAGTGTTTTTCGAGTCTTTTAATCTTTTTAAAATCATTTCAGATCAGAAAATGTTTCATGACGAAGTTTGGAGACTTAAGAGCAAAAACGGTGAAAAGTGCGAAAAAAAAAGATTGGAACGATCCAGCCAGAATTTGCGAACATTTTCCAGCATGACCAATTCTGTAAGGCATGATCGATCTATGCTGGAACGATCGTTCCAGATATTTCAGATCGATCGTTCCACCTCTCCAAAGAAGAAGGAAATTTCGATTTTTCCTGTTTTGGCCCAAATTCTTCTGATTTTGGCCCTAGACTACAGCAGACCTATTTAAACCTATTTTTTATCACTTTTCTGGATACGCTTTCTATTCTATTGAAACTTTTTTAAGCTTTTGGCAATTTGTAAGATTAGGGAGACGAATCTCTGACTCTACATCTCTGAGAAGCTTTCTGAACCCTTTTGGATTTCTATTTTATTGATTATGAGTTCTTCTCCATCTTTCTGTGTTTTATCTGCATCTACGTCTGAGTAGTTCTCCAGTTAGGTTTTTAGAGTTTCAAAGGATTTTCAGGAATCACTAAACTGAATTTGTTAGATTAGGGAATCACATAGAGTTCTTCATCTATTGTTGAGTTTAAGACTTAGAATAGATTGATCACCTAGTTTATGATTATAGGATTAATCTAAATATGAAAGTGATTTAGATTTCCCGACAGAACTTAGATGAGCAAATCGTCCTTAGCCAACGAAAGATGATGCTAAGGCGATTTGTGAAGTTATCAAACCAGGACTTTAATGCATATCTAGAAATTTAAGGTCAAACGACAGTTTAGACACTTAGGTTATTAGACATAGTAGTTAGTGCCACGACAGTGGGTTAGCTAGACGTTTATGTTTGAGTTCGAGAACGGTTCTTAATTCATTCCCTATTCGATAATCTGTTTAGTGAGTCTTGATTTCCTGCGAATTACCCGAAGACCTAGCGTTTTTCTCATTTGAATCTACATCTCATTACTTTGCTTTTCTTAGTTTCTAGAAGTCTTAAACCACAAAACAACCTATCATTAAGCTTAGCTTTACTTTCTTTCTGCATTCTCATAGCGTATACTTGGTCCTTGTGGATTTCGATATCTAAAGTACTATTTCGATTGCTGTGCTCTTGCAGTAGATTTTAGGATTATTCCTGATGTGTTTCAAGAATTGGCGCTGTGCCAGGGACCAATTGAGTGCCTACGAGTCTTGGATGAAATTTCAGACTAAGTTTTTCTTTTTCTTTTGCTAATATGTTTTTTTTTGTGTGTGTGTTTCAGGTTTATGACCAGAAGCCATGGTTCTGAAAATCTGCTGGATTTGAACAACGAGGAGCTAGCGCAACTAGAACGTGAGAACATACAAAGAAGGAAAAACATTGCTCAAAATCAAGATGATCTGAATCTCCAGGGCCTGTTCGATGATGATGGAAACCCCATAAATCCTCCTCCTCCTGTTCGTGATGATCTCATTGATCCAAATGCTGCTGCTGATCATGCAGCACGAGCTGCAGCTGAAGCTCAGAGGCAAGCTGAAGCTCAGAGGCAAGTCGAGGCTCAGAGACAAGCTGAAGCTCAGAGGCAAACCGCAGCTGCTGCAGCTGGACATGTGCAACTTGGGAACAATGTTAACAGGCAGGCACAATTCCAGAGGAACCAGAGGCAGCCTCCGCGCATACCTATTGGGGAATTGATTCTCCTCACCAGTTCTATCAGGATAGGTCACCAGTTCGTCCACCACCTATTCAGAGACAGAACTTTGAGATCAAACCTCAAATCATCGCTCTTGTGGAAAGGCAATAGTTCTATGGGAAGGCTTCAGAAAATTCCATGAATCAGATTTGAAGAGATTTGCAGTACTACAAGCTCAAATGAAGTCCCTGCAGACTATCTGAAGTGCAAACTCTTCTCTTTCTCTTTGGCTGATCGAGCAACTAGATGGCTGAAATCACTTGAACCTGGTTCTTTGACTTCTTGGGAAGCAATCAGGTCATCGTTCTTGGATCAGTTCTACACCAAGGCTAAGACAGCATCACTCAGGATGAAGATCACTCAATTTCAACAGAATGGTGGTGAGTCTTTCAATGAAGCTTGGGAGAGATTCAGAGAGTATTTCATAGAATGTCCTCATCATGGTTATTCAGATGAGCAGGTGCTGAACATCTTCTATGATGGAGTAGACTGGGAGGCAAAGAATTGTCTAAATGCTGCCAGCAATAGTAACTTCATGACAAAGACTAAGGAGGAGGCATATGAGCTTATTGAGAATCTCTCTGTTAGTTTCAGCCAGTGCAATCCTGAGTATGACAGATCAAGACGTATCAATATCATTGAGTCTAGAAAGATAGACGAGCTGACTAACCAAGTTCAGCATAGCCTTGTTACTGAAGGGAAATCAAAAGGCTGTCAACTTTTGTGACAATGCTGGCGATGAGAGGTTGTATCAGGAATTTGCTGAAGAGGATTCAGAAGGACATTATGCTGAGGTGACCTACGTGCAGAACCAAGGATATTTCAACAGAGGATTCAACCAGAATTACAGAAATCATCCCAACCTGTTATACAGAAGTCCCAGTGTTGAAAATCCTCAAGATCAAGTCTACCCACAACAAGCAGGTGTGCAAAATCAGGGTCTGCAGTTTCAGCAGAAACCATTTGTGCAAAACCAAGGTGTCAGCATTTTCTCTAAGGGGTATCAGGGCCAGACAAACGTGCAGAATCAGGGACAGCACAGCTTTCAGAATCAGAATGGCTCTAATCTAACTACACAAGAGTCTAAACTTGAAGCGATGATGCAACAAGTCATGATTAATCAGCAGACGACTGCAAAAGAGATCCATGTCAAGGTAGATGAGATGTATAGTGATCTCAGCAACAAAATTGAGAACATCGATAACAAGTATGAGTCCCTTGCCACTCATGTGAAGAAGCTTGACACACAGGTAGCACAGATTGCAGATGCTATTAGTAGAACTTTAATAAAACTTCTATATAAATATATAGTCCCATTAATCATCAATTGATAATCATCATAAACTAAATCTGATATAAACATATACGTAAAATAATCTAATAAAATATGAATATAGTGATGTTTTTTATTCATTTTAAATTAAAATATTCTTGAAACTCATCTTAAATTTTATAAAGATTTTTTTAAAAATTATACAATCTTTTTAAAATTAATAAAAAGTTAATAAAAATTAAAAAAAAGTTATTTAAAATCTATAAATTAGTAATTTTATAAATTAATAAAATATCAAAGTCCCAAATATAGAGTTTTTACTGTAAATCATTTGTAATTTCTACAATTATTCAAACTTTATTCAATCATTTGTAAATCATTTATAACTTTTACTGTAAATCATTTGTAACAAAAATGATTTACAGATTTGTAACTTCTTATTAAACCAAAAAACTTCTACTATTTATGTTACTGTAAATCATATTGGTCTGATTGGCAAATTAACTTTAAAGGCTGTTAGAGCTTTGAAACAAAAATAAAGTTTTTAAAGTAAGATTTTAGCCAATCTGATTTTAGCCAGTCAGACTTTAATGATTTTAAAGTCTTAAAAGTCATAACTTCCATCCTAAAAAATCCCACAGTTTTCTCTCTCCTTTTTTCTATGTAAATCGACATTTTTTTTTAAAAGCCTCAAAATGTGGCTT